TCATTTCGTCTACGCTGGCGCTCATTTCTGACCTGTTCCCAGGAAGCAGCATCGACGTCCGTTTCGAAAACCTGTCTTCTGACTACCTTGCGTGGTGCAAGAGGGAGGGGCAAACAGCTTTCCTCAGCTACATCAGCAAAGATACAATTTTGTGGAAGAGTCGGAACGAGACACCTAGTGCCCTTTGGTCAAAGGGGGCTGCTACAACAGTGTTGATGAAATGGCTGGAAGCCTGGAATTCAACTGCTGATCTGTCTGGCGACGTTCTTTACGAGAAACAAGCGAAGGCGTGCCACTTGATCAACAGTTTTTTTTCAGCGCTGTACGAGGAGGATGTTTGGATAGCAGGTGAGACTGCGATGTATCTTGGAGATGTGCTGGGCTACAATTCCTGCGGATCTATGACCACCTGGCCAAAATTAGCTACAACCAGGGACGGTCTCTTTATCCGTTCATGCCCAAACATCATTTGCTCCATCACATTTTTTTGCAAGACTTGTGGATCGCTGGAAAATCCCAGAGATGGGTGATTAACCCTTTGTGCTGGGGAACGCAGCAAGCAGAGGATTTTATCGGAAAAGCATCACGGACTTCACGACGTGTACACCCTTCAAAGGTTTGCGAGCGCACAATACTCCGTTATTTGACCAAGGCATTTGCAGAATGGCGGAAGCTTAAGTACATCATTTCTTGAGATAAAAAGATTGGAGTGTGTTTGCTGCTTTGGCAACTTCTTTGTGCGTTTGTCAAAACCCAGAAAAGCAAAACCTCGGGTTTCATGACAAACCTCGGGTTTCCCTCCAGAAGTTGAGGTATTCTTCAAACCCTGCTTTTTCTTAGGTTTTGGTTGGTCAAGGTATATGTATATTTATTTATGAGAGTCTTGACTGAACCCTCCCACAGAGGACAAACTTCTGAAAACATGTATCTTTTTGTGTGTTTTAGCTTGTTTTCTTCAAGAGTTGTCCACAAAGTGCAGAATCTTTTGCAGAGTGTCCTGGCAGTGTAGTTTTCTTGACAAAGGTTAACAGAGTGCCCTCCCCACAGTGTAGTTGTTTTGACAAATCTTAACAGGGTGCCCTCCTGGCAGCGCAGTTTTATTGATAAATGTTGACTCAAAAGAACACACATTTGCGAGAAAACTTAACATTTGTCAAGAAAGCTGCACTACCAGGAGAGCACTGTGTGGAAAATTTTGGACCCTGTGGACAAATACAAAAAATACACGTTTTCAGGGGTTTGTCCTCCGGGGGGGTTCAGTGAAGACTCTCTGAAATTTGTGTTTATAATATGTTTTCCCGAATGCGTAGCGAAGGGTCCTCGATCTGGGGGTTGGACTGTGTTCGCCTCGGGTGCTCTGTGTCGTCGTTTCTCGTCGTCGTGGGGTGTGCTGACGTCGTAAATTCTCCCCATTGGGCGAAGCTTTTGGAGAGGTTTGTCGATGGAGAGTGATCGTCAGATTCGTCGCAAAAACCAGAGTTTTGTGAGATCCGCGGTTTTCTGCGTACTCACATTGGGATTGGCGTTTGGAGGGTGGTGTTTTGGGGGTGTTGGAGGTGGCTGTGACATTGGGATTTGCGTCTCAGGCTGTTGCTTCGAAGCTGTGTTTTCGTGACAAGTCTCAGCTAAAATGGCGATTTTGGTGGCTGGGCAGAACGTGTCACGTGTGGTGTGGCGAACATTTTGTTGAAGCTAACATGATATGATATTGTCACTTTGCGTGGCAGGCGCAGTACTTGGTGCGGGCTTTGAGGTGTGTGTGCCTTGCTTGCTTGCTTGCTTGCGTGCGTGCGTGCGTGCGTGCGTGCTCTCACACGGGCACTGATTTGCGCCCACCCGGGTCAGTTCACAAGTAGAACGAAGCATGGAGGGGCTAATGCTGCTCCATGCTTGGCGGAAGAAGGTTGTGGCGCGAGTGGAACTGCCTTGCGCGGCCTAAATGCCGTTCTGGGGTGTTCTTTGGGCTTTTGCGCAACCTGTATTTTTTATTGAAAGTTGAGTTAGAGTTGACTTGAAATATAATCAAATTTCATTGAAAATACAGGCTTCATCTACTTCCAACGGACTTCAAATTTAGATCTATATAAGTCATTTTTTACGCTATACAGTTTTAGCCGAATTTGAATACCAAAATTGAATTGAATTAATAGAAATAGACCTTCATTAAAAAACTACTATTGAGTAAGTATTTATTTTTTTGAAACTATTTAAGCCCAACTTAATTCTAAATTTAGGATATTAAAATTGAACCTGGTTGAATTCAAATTTGAATCTAATTGATTTCTAGTTTAAGTTTAGTTTCAATCTCCATTTTGATTTCAATTCTAATTTAGTTCTGAGTCTACTGTAAATGTCACTTTAATTCTCATTCAAGTCTGGTTCTAACTCATTTTTACAGCAATTGACTTCTAATCGAGCTGCAGGTTAAGCGATTCTATCTTATTTCTTTCCATTTCTATATGAAATAATGAAATGTTGATTCAACCTTAGTTTAATTACAATTCAAACTTAGTTTAAGTCTATTTTGTTTTGTGTTTTTTGAAAATATGTCTAATTATGTTTTTTGTTCAGTTTTGTTTATATTTCAATTTATTCGAATTGGAATTCAAAATAAGTTGGAAATCAACATGGAATAACAAAAATTGTAAAACAATTGAATTTGAAAACAAATAGATTGAACAATAAACAAAACTAAATCTGCATTAACGTAAAACTAAATTAGAACTAACTTCGGGATAAATTAAAGGCAGCCGTTTTTTTCAGAACGGGTGCTCCTGGGAGATGTTTTTCATGCAAACAATGATGCAAAAACACTGTGTTTTACAGTGATTTCTAGCAAAAACCTCTCAAAATTGAGGTTTTGAGCTATTTTTTGATCAATTTTGTGAGATCCAAGCCTATCCCAATTTAGAGGGAATACCAAAAAAAACAAAAAACAATAAACCAAAAAACACCAAAAAAACAATGTTTGACACAAAATGCAGCCAACATCCAAAAACCAATAGTGACCCCATTTTGTCTCAAACTTTGTTTGTTTTTGTTTTTTTGGTTTTTTGGTTTATTGTTTTTTTGTTTTTTTTTGGTATTCCCTCTAAATTGGGATAGGCTTGGATCTCACAAAATTGAGCAAAAAATAGCTCAAAACCTCAATTTTGGAGAGGATTTTGCAAGAAATCACTGTAAAACACAGTGTTTTTGCTTCATTTAAGTTTAACGGTGGAATTTGATGTTAAATTGGATTTCAATTGATTTTGGTATTAGACTTCAATTAAAACGCTTTCAGAATTATTGGTGGAAGTTGATGTATCATTAGCTTTCTATTAACAATGTGTTTAAGATTAATTGTAGATTTTTTACAAACAAAGTTTCATTTGTACCATTGTCAAAATCATTGGGGAAATTGATGTTTATATTAGATTTCAATTAACATTTCTTCAAGATTAATTATAGAAAAATGAATGTGTAATTCAATTTCGATTAAATGCCTTTTCAAGATCATTGTGGCAATTGATTTTGACTTAGATTTCAATTAAAACCCTATTATATTTCATTGTAGAAATTAGGCATTACTTAAATGTCAATTAATGTCCTTTTCAAAATCATTGTGGAAATTGTTTGTTGTTTAGATTTAAATTATGTTCTTTTCAACATAATTTGATTGAATTGCTTGTGTATTGGATATCAATCAAGACCCTTTTAGAATTGATTGTGAAAATTAACTTTCAGTTAACAGTTAATGGTGGCAATCAATTCTTATAGTTAGATGTTAGTTAAAGTCCTTTTATTTGATGTAGCCTTGTAGTGGGGAGCAAACAGATACAAAATCAATTCAAGTTAGTTAAGCATCACAATTTCCACAATTGATCTTAAATCGACTTTAAACACAATCTGATACTAAATCAAAGCCACCACCAACTTTGAAAAGGACTTTGACTAAAATCTAATTGTAAGAACTAGTTTCCACAATGAGTTTTAAAGAGAACTTGGCAATGATTTTTATTGCAATCTAATATCTAATAAATAGCAAGTTCCACAATCAATGTTAAAAGGATCTTGATTGAAATCTTCTAATTTAAGTTTGCCTAATTCTATTTTAGTTCCAGTTTAGTTAGTTTAAGAACACACATGTTACAAAACCTATATTTTACAGTGTTTTTGCCCTAGGAGTGCCGGGAATAAGACACAAACTATGTTTTTGAGTAGATAGTATTTGTTTAAAGTAACCCCTTGGAATATTCATTGCTATATTAAAACTGCTTTATGTACAAACTTCTAATTCAAAAGGTTCCCTCTAGATCTGATCACTTCTGTGAAAAATATAAAGCTTTCATTTCAAAAGCTTTCCTCTGGATCTCTGGAAATAGTCATGGTATTTTAAAAAAGCTATAAGTATGTATGTAAGTGTTTCTTTCAAATGCTTTCCTTCAATGAAAATACACAAATCTAGGAAATCTACTTTCCCAGAGATCCAGAGGAAAGCTATTGAATCTAGATATGTATAGTATTATAACTTCATTCGCTCATGATGCTACATTCATTGTGGGCAGAGAGAGATTCACCTGATAATATTTATCATTGGTGTTGCACATTGATAGTGGGCAGACGAAGAGCTGTTATTTGTTGTCTTTGACATTGGACATGGAGACTGGGCACAGACAGATCAAAAAAATTGCGTTTCGCCTAGTTCTCAGAGCAGTTTTTGAAATTTTGCACGGTATTTACAGTGTTTTCTAAGGGTTTTGAGCTAGTGTGTGCTCTCCCAAGCACACCCACCCTCGTTTTTTTCGGGGGGGGGGCAAACATATACATATATAGTGAAGGAAGTGAGAATACAACGCTGTCCATGTACTGAAATTCAAGAAGCGACAAATTTAGCAAACTCATCCAGTTACCACCTTGAATATGTATGTCAATATATACATGTTTTTTTATACACATTGATCCCTAATTCCTCATTGGCAAAGAAATAGATAAAGGCACATCCCTTGCCCGTGGCTGAGATCCTCTTCTACTCCACCATCGATGTGGAGGAACTGATCCGGTCCCTTGTGTGACGATCCTTTGAATTGTTCGAGTAAAAAGTCTGACGGTCTGTTTCTCGCAGAGAAGGCGAGCTTCCTTTCAGGGTGCACCAACTCCAGACTCCTGGAAACAGAATAAAGTAGGACCTCGAGGCTGTCGACATTTGCGAGCCCAAGGCTGATACTTATAGGGTACAGTCTGCCAGCAATCTGCGCAGTCAGTTTGACACCCAACATTTGTCATAGGTCAAACAGTCCAAGCACTCAAGCAATCTCAAGCACCTAAGTACATAGTTTTCTGAAAATTCTGGATGTCAAAGAATACAAACGGACCGCTGGCACCGCTGGTGCATGGACCTGCTCCTGCTAGATAGATTCCAGCAACAAAAATTAAATTTGTTGTCTGTAAAAGAAATAGATCGTAATTATAATCAATATTGACAAAAATCAGAACACATGCCTCCACTCAGACTTTTTACTTTGCATGGTCATCATATCACCATACGTCGTTTCAGGACCAACCCCCCATAACCTTCGTGGCAGGACGCGGTATACAACAAAGGTCGGCCAGTAGGTCGGCCCTGTTCGACTCGACTGCCGTGCAGTGTCGGGGCATCGTGGCAGGACACGTCGACCTCGGAGCCCGCCGACTTCACCATGATGCCAGTGCAATCCTCTTGGCGAGTGCGGGACCTCGGGACGTTGGGCGGGACGTCGGGACGCCGTTCGTGGCCTGGAAAACGCTTGACTCGGTGGGGTGGGTTGGCCGGGTGTAGCTTTTGGAGGAACGGGGGCATGGTGAAAGGGGGTGACACGGGAGTGGTATTTTAGAGCTGGGGGCTGCAACTTTGGTGCAACGCTGCTGTGATGGCAGGGGTGCCCGGGGGGTGAAGCGAATTCCTGATGAAGACAAGGATAGAACAGTACTAAAGGTGCTACAGAATGTGCTTGGAAGAATGGAAGACAAGTAGTTTCAACAAACATTGGTGAAACTCCCCAAAAAGGTGGGCTCCTGCGTTCATGGGGAATGTACTGTACTGATTGTGTCCATCCCCACTTTTGCGGAGTTAAGAGCAGATCTCATCCGCGATTCCAGTCTCAGTTTGGCCAAGAACCCACTGAATAACGCTTTCGAATCTGAACCAACTGCCTAAAATCAAAATGGTTTCCCTCCTGTCTCTCTTGTGTCCACACGCATCTTGTCGGGCAGGTCACAGTTCACCGTCAAGATCAGGGGAAAGGCGAGCGCCACTCAAAACAGACAAAGATTGCTCAGAAGACAGATGCGCTACTAACCCACAGACTCCATGCATGTATTTACATTAGGGAACTGTTTCATACTGGATTGTTTGGGTAATGACCTGCACTCCTGGGCTTTCCAAACGGCTCATGCTAGCTCACGGCTGGCACGCCTCATGGCTGATGATGGCTCATCATGGCTCATGATGGCTCATCTCATCCCTCTTTTTGGCCAAGCTCGCATGCTGCCACTTGCAACCAACCGTGTTGGTTGGCCGACCGTATTGGGGTGAACTCGGTCTGACCTTCGTCTGTCAGGATCTGACTCGGTCTCAGCGGCTTTCGATCGACCTCGAGGGTGACAACGATGACCTGAAACGTAGGTTCTTTCGACAGAAAGGACAGTCATGGTCCGCCAAAAAACGGAAGTCCTGCACGTGCTGTTTCCAGCTTGGAGCACACCAATTACGTCACACACAAATTACGTCCCTGCGGGCTGAGGATCTGGGGCGCGAGGATCTGACAGGAAAAAAAACACGCAGGGGTGCTTCATACACCGCTTCGACGTTGTGAGGGTCCCTCCAACTCACAAACATGGAAGTGGACCACCATGAAAAACATTGAAACACCATGTGTTTGTTAAGGAAACTGGTCTTCCAGGGCACATCTTCCACTTGCCGCGTGGGGTGACTGACTCATTCTTTGAACATTGGCACGCTTAGTCGACCATTAGCTCCGAATTTGACTGAGCCTTTGGCGTTTTGTATGCCAAAACACTTGTTTGTTTGGGCTCGTTTCAGGCTCCTGGTACCGGGAAGTGCCCAACCACCAGAGCTTAAGTGTCCTAAATCGGGCCATGGGCACGTTGCCAGGATGCGGTGCACAAGATTCATTCCACATTGTCACACCACCTGGAGGAGTTCTTGGAAATCTCATCACTCCGCCTGTCGCAGGCCCCGATCGAGTGGAGAAGATCCGCAGCGAGTGCTCTTCCCGCGGCGAGTCGAATCGCCGCGGCAGTGACTCGGACGGCGACGCGTCGGACTCGCCGTCCCGCTCGGCGTTCCACGGGACATGCGCGGGCACGAGTGTGGCCGATATCTGAGCAAGAGCGATGGCCTCCAACCTAGTAGCACAAGGTAGAAACAGAATCATCCTAACGGGAATAGTAGTGGGAATCGTGTATGAGGTCAGAAGGACCGGGTCCAGGATGAGACAAGGCTTGTGGAGGAATCCCTGGCATCGAGCGAATCACGGGCATCTCGACTCCAGCTTTTGTCGACAGAGAGGTGAGCCCTTTTTGGGACAGCAATTCCACATGGATCGACTCCACTCTCGGCTGTTACGAGGAAAACTCGTTCGTGTGGGTGAAAACCATGTTTAACCGTTGAACCCTTACTACACCAGAAACTGGAGGGGTCAGCGACCAAATCTCGGGAGCCTGCCACGTGGTGTTTCTGTGTGTGTTTGATCGGTCCAAGGTGAATGGATCGGGACTGGGACCCCAACAAAAACACCACCGGTGTGTCCCAAATGCGGTCAAGACCGACACCGTTCTCGCGCCTTGCCGACGACCGGGTCATAACGGGCCATAACGGGTCATGTTGGCTTGATTCAGCTACCCTCTTAGCTCCTGGATCTGAGTGGATGATCGATGGCATGAAAGTCGCTCAAAATCTGTGTAGTTTTGATAGTTTTGATATATAGTTTCTATCAGAGGATCCAATCAAAAGAGATTGGATTTTGCTTTTCCAAAGAGAGGTTCCACCGAGGGGCGCGTTTCCCCTTCATGTTGGTCACTTGCAGCCCTTCTGCCCAGGCTTCTTCGACTTTCACACGTCTTTTGGCAGAGAGATGGTCCTTTGTTCGACTGGACAAATACGTCCCACGGAAGGTGTCAAACAACTCTTGGAAGGTTCCTCTTTCTGCGAACCAGCTCCTGCCTTCAATCAAGACCAGGTTCCTGTTTCAGGAAGAACACAGAACACTCTGCATGGTCACGGGAAGAAGGGCGGAGAAGTCATTGCGAAATAAGACAACTGCGGATCCGCACGAGTGTGGTGGGGTTCTTCAAAGAGGCACTGTCATCTCGGATCCAAACTGTTCAGCTAAGGATGTTAAGTGTTCGAAGGACCAAGCAATTAATGGCTTGTTGAAGGAAGACTTCCTTACAGTTGGTGTGTATCCCAGCTTTCAGGAAGAAACCATAAGAAACCACTTCAAGCCTAGCTCTGCATCGGTGCAATGCGTGTTGGCCAAGGAATTGCAAGTGGTCTCTTCTCTTTGAAGGGGTGCATGCATGTCTGAGTCTGTCCACACCAAAACAATAATCATTTGATGTATAAAAGGTTGCACCATCCTTTCACTCACATCTTCCACCCAAAAGCACCCACATCACCACCTTTCGACCAAACATGTCTTTCACCAGGTTAATGGCCTCCATGTGGAGCTGCGTCTCCTGCGTGGACTCCGGTGCCGCCCACGGCCGGCCGAGTGGCGACGGTGTGTCCGAGCGTGGGCGGTCGTGGCCGACTGAGCTGCCAGACCTGGGCGACTCAGCAGAAAGTACTGTGGGGAGCCCACGGCGTCTACCATGGCAGTACTGAAGAGGTCAATGGAGGTGTTAGGAGGTGGTTATAGTTGAAGTTATATGAAGTTATAGTATACAGGCCAGGAGGTATAGCGAGTGAACGATATATAGTCTATAGTTATGAGTTCTAGACAGTGATTCCGAGATTCCTGATGACATGTTCATAAGCAATTTAGTGGTGGTCCGGAGATTGTCTCCTTTTGGATTTCTCGCTTTAAGCCACAGAGCGAGGCTCCTTCCTATATCGTCGGACCTCAACAGAAATGCTATCTTCGGCTATCGGCACAAACGGCATTTCGTCCGTGAACGACCAAAAAGGAGGTGAGAGTGGAGGTGAGTCACGGGCCCTTTAGTGTAATTGTTTAAATTCCCCTATTGCTAGGTGAGTCGTAGACCCGTCGGACGGTGTGCACTCATGGAAATGGGTTCAACAACGTGCTATTTAAGCTATTAGGTAAACACAAAACAGATCAAAATGGATCCCCTAAGATACCATGGATCCCCTAAGATCGGTGTGATTGTATTTTCACCCGATGGTACAGGTCGTCTCGTCTCATCAGCCGTATGTTTTTCACAGTGAATTGCCAGTGACCTGGATCATGTTTGAAACATATGGTTTCCTTAGGGATCCAGTCGTACCTTGTCAGGTACGGTGATTGGGGACACTGCTGAGCTACCCCCGACTACACCACCGGTCGACCGGCGACTCACCATGGCACGAAATCACCCGGATTTCGGTCTGTGGTGTGACTGACCCGATTGGATGTTTGAATATTCTGATGAGTATTCTAGTCATCACTTGATCAGACTAGAGAAGCACAGCTCTTGCGCATGGTATCAAAAGGTGTACAGATGGATGTAAAAATGTTCGATTGACTTTTGAATACTGCTCTTCATGCGGCTAAAGACAACGAAAGGGATGGTACTTGCGTACACCTACACTACATGCAAGGCAGCCCAATTGCATGCACTACTAAGTGTGTTTTATCTTGCATGGAATGTAGCGTTTGGTTGCTTCAAAGTCACAGTGCATGAAACATGTATACAGTTTGCTGCTGCAAAAAAGGAGACGAGTGCTATCCCCAAAGTTTGGAATTGAGGACACAGAATGGCAAACAGTACATCATATTTGGGAGACTAATGGGCTCTCTTGAGCCAATTCCTCTTCGTGACCTTTGTGTGTCAAAAAAAAACATACAAAACACGAGCGTTTGACGCGGTGACGAGTCACCGAGGTCCCGAAGTGCGAAGCATCGTTTTAGACAAACAGGCCGTTCCATCGGGACCGGTCAGGTCGGGCGCCAGGGGAGCCACAGAGTGGCTCGGGATCCATATTGGTGGGATTTGAGTCCAAAATGGATGGACATCCCAAGAATGTTCAGCTACAGAGCTCTTGAGCACTGCAAATCATCCGGCTTGATCCGCAGACTTTTGGGGATCTTAGGCAGTTGCAACAGAACATTTGCGTGGTTTGCATGACGAATACCCAAGGTCCAATGGTTTGGTTGTTCCGCGATAAGTTGATGAGAGTCCCTCCAAATATCTTCAAATGGTTTGTTTTTGTTTGGACCCCTTGTGTTTTAATTGTTTTTGGACAAGCTTTTAAATGATGTTAATGTTTTGTTTATTTTGTGTTTGGTGTGTTTTGTGTTTGTTGCGTTCTACTTTTTCCTTTAGGCTTTTCCTCCATGGTGGTTCCTCAAAAAGGCATTCATTCAAGTGCGTTCCGGATGGGCAGAGATGAAGCTAGACTAGTCTAGCTTTTGTAAGGCATCCCAGGTGGGGCGCATCTTCTCCACCACGTGGTTTGGTGAAGAATTCTTTTGCACCACCTTGGGCAGGAGAGGGTTTGTAGTTGGGATTCTTCAAGAGTTTGTATTCGCAAAGTATTTCAGTTGTGAGAATTCCATGAATCCAGCTGCGAGTTTGCCAGGAAAACATTGACAAAATCTTGGAATCTTATACTCTCTCAGAGGCTTGGCAGTCCAAGATTATTTGGGTTCCTTTGCAATTGAAGTCTGTTGATTAGTGGTGGAGAGTATGTGTTTTTTGCTTTTCCAGGCTCCTTGAGCAAACCCAAGCGCTAAACTTGTTCAGCCTGGCTGTCTTTCACCTTCCCTCAGAGACGCGGGTGGTCGGTGGACCGTCACGTGGTCGGTGGAGACACGTTGTCTTGTGGGACGGATTCGCGTCCTGCCAATTGGATGAGTTCCTCTGCACCATTTGGCACCCTCCCTCAGACGTCAGACGTTGGCTGAGTGGGATGGCCCCACCTCTACACATGGAGGATTGCATGGACGTCTACGCCAAAAAGACACGGCTTCCACTTTCGAGGGAGTGTATTTGTTGAGCTCCCGTTGCACCTTGGAACACCCATGAGCCTCTCGTCATGTCGCCTCTTGACATGATTGACACGGCCCACTGGACAAGAGGGAATGGTACCCGTTGCTGGACTCCCATTATAGAACTTGGGGTCGAGCTTTGATCCTCGGTAGGTGAAACATGGTAAAATGACAATCTGAAAGGCAAGTTACATACTTTGTCTCAAGCACAGAAAGTAAGCTAGAGTTCAAGCAATCCCACTGACTCACTTGGTTTTTTCCTGCTTTGACTGCTTGAAGTTTCTGAGGAGCAGAAGCAATCCTACGACTCCTTAGTGAAATCGCTCACGGGAACCGACCGCTTGCGACTGGCTGCCGTGCTCTTCCGGGGCATTTGCGCCAGTCACGTGGCGGCCGGCTGGACCGACGCTTGGACGTGGGGGGATCAGCGGCCGGGCTGACGCAGGGCTGACGCAGCTTGGAGGCCAAAAGCCTCGAGTACCACGGAGTTCCCGACGAGGGGGGCTTTCCTCAAACCACCCTTCGGAGCTGAAGTTGAAGTGGTTGTTTTTATTTTTGGAGTGTGCTTCTCATCTGAAGTGACAGATGTTGTTTAGATGGGTTTGAGCGAACTGGTGGTTGGGTCCGAGGCGAAGGGTTCTTTGGGCCGTGCATGTCCTTTCACGGTCGATGCTTGGGTGAGTTGACTCACCATGAAAGGGCTTCATTGCTTTGGTTTCTTTGCTGAAGTGTAAAGACATCATGAATTAAACCAACACATAACATGTTAAAAGTGTTCAGCTTGCTCTGTGGATACGGCACTTTTCGGCTTTTTTTTTGTTTGGGGTGGGTTGGGTGTGGTTGAAGCTCTATTGTTGCAGGTTTGCTGCTGTGGCACATTGGGATACATTTGGAGTGGCCTCGTTTGTGCACGTTTCCCTCTTTTGCGGAAGACACCAGATGCAGCATGATCTCACATGCCTTATGAACTTATGAGTGTTGCTTAGTACATCTTAGTACCCTCCCACCCCATGGGTGCCATAGAAACAGATCATCTAACAGGGCACTGGCCGTGAGTGGCCAGACCTTGCCTCTGCGCTGTGCACCGGATCGGCCCGTTCCAACCGGACCCGAAACAGCCGTTCCGATCGACCTCGGAAGATCTGCCCAACTGTTCAACGGGACTCCGATGAAACGTCACAACCCCTGTCGAGTTCCAACCAAAAAGAGCATTCTTTTTTTGAGAGTGTGAAGAAGTGGGCCAGCACTTGCTTTTCGGTCTAGAAGGGTTTTCGCAGCTGAATCCTTCAATCAGACATATTGAGGCCATCTTCCTTCATGACATTGTTTACTCAATGACGCGGGGCACAAGCAAATAACACAAATGCAAATGTGAAAAAGTGTCAGAAAAGAACATAATTTAGGAATTGGTGAAACGTTTGCCAAATTGACTTTTGTTGCAAAAAGTCACTCAATCCAATCTCCTGTTGTCCACCTGCCCTGACAAGTATTGCGAGTAGACTACGTGGGGCACGGTGTGTGCTCATATTTTGCAGCCAAACCACGCTGCTTTGCAGTGTTCCCTGCTAGAATTGCCCAGGGAGAAGAGTTGACAGCAATGGTCGCAGGAACTTAAAACTGGAACACATTCCTTTTTGTTTGTCAAGACAATTAAGCAACAAGTTGTTTATATTTTAGCAATATATACATAATAAGAGAAAGCAAAACTCCAAAGAATTAATCTTGTTTTAAATAGTTTTCCACATATAACACAAATCAGAACTTAAGAAATGCCCGCCGCAGGGGCATATAAACTTAAGTTTTAAGTTCCTTAACAATCAGAATCTTCAGGGTTTGCCCGTCCCAAGCTTTTTTGTTCGCATATTTTTTACAACACTTATTGACTAAATAGGACACTAACAAAGTTCTCATTACCTTTTGGGGTAAAGTTTCGATAGGAAAAAATATCTTAGAGTCTTTTCTGTGAGTAAAGTTCCACCAAACAAATATAAGCATAGTTGTCTTATAATTTTTGGGGTGGAACTTTACTCCCAGAAAATATGAAAGGGTGTTTATTTTTTGTGGAATTTAACCACCATAAAAATATTAAAGAAAAGCAATCTTATATTGTTGTTGGTGGAACTTTAGTCCCAGGAAAATTGAACTTTACTCCCAGAAGGACAAATATATATAATATATGATGTTTGTTTCTTGTTTCTTTTGGTGCAACTTTACTCCCAGAAGAAAGATATAAGAACTAAGTTGTTTTCCAATACTTTGTGTGGAACTTTGCTCCCAGAAAAATCATAAGCAACACATGTGTTCTTGCGGCAATTCTTCTGGGAGCCAAACTCCGCAAAAAATATCTGGGAGCACAAAACTCCACACTAAATAAAATTTGGCAAACAAAAACAAAATATAATCATTGGAAAACAAGTTTTAATCCTTGAACATATTTATAAGAAACACATGTTGTCGTATAAGTGTTTTTTCTTCGAGCCCATGCATGCCATGCGTTGCATTTTGGTGGTTTTGTAGCTTTTTTGTCGTGGTTCATATTCATGAGATTGCAGAAAACCTAAGAACCAATGTGTTTCTTGTAATTTTTCAGGGGAGTAAAGTTCCACCCCCCCCCCCCAAAAAAAAAAAACATGTATTTCTTTATTGTAATGTATTTGGGAGTACAGTTCCACCAAGAAATACAAGATGTTTTTCTGGGAGTAAAGTTCCACAACAAAAATACAATAATAAAAATCTAGTAAAATTCCACCAAAAATAGTTGTTTTTTCTAGGAGTAAAGTTCCACCAAAAGAATATAAGGAACAATATGGATAAATTATTGTCTTATATTTTGTTTGGATGAAATGTTCACCAAACAAATTATAAGAAAACAAACTGTTCTTATATTTTCTTGTTCTGGGAGTAAAGTTCCACCAAAAAGCTTAGGAAAAATCTTATGTTTTGTTTTTTTTCTTTTTCTGGGAGTAACGTTCCACCAAAAAAATATAAGATAACCATTTTGTTATTTATTATTTTCTGGAGTAAAGTTTCGCCAAAAAAAAAGAACACACATATTAATTTCTTTTTGGGAGTAACTTTCCACCAAAAAAGATATAAGAAAATATTGTCTTAGTTTTTTTGTGGAACTTTCCTCCTACAAAAATAGATGGTATATTTGTTTGGTGGAAGTTTACTCGCATAAACAAATATATATAAAGATGAGAATTCAGCTTTAAGCTATTAAACATTATGCGCCTATGTGTCCTTATATTTAGGAACTTATGAATTGTTGCAAAAAAACTCTGCGCCTGTGGCGGGCAAATTCTTAAGTTCCTAAAATTGTTTCTTTTTGTTTGTGGAGGTTTTCTCCCAGAAAATAGTATAAGAACACATGTGTTTCTTATAATTGTTTTTATGACTGTGTGGGGGTTTACTGCCGGGATAACTAAACAAAAACATGTTCTTTTATAGTTTCTTTTGTGGAGTTTTGTGTGGAGTTCTTGCAAACAATGGAGTTGCTTCATTTCATGTGTGTTACTGTAGATTAAACATGTTTAAACTATACATGAACCACAGGTAACTTCTTGCTCTTGTAGTCTAAATGGTCTAATCATTTATTGTTTATAGTCTAATAGTCTTAGAGCTCTAACATTTATTATTGGTGGCTGAAAGATAAAAATGACAAGTATTGCGTAGGGGAGGGCCCAGTCTTCCTCGAACTGTTCAGTGTGTGGGTAGATTGCAACCAGAACAACTTGGTCTTTGAGCCGCGAAAAAGAGGAAAGGCTGCTTTGCGCTGAGAATTTCACCCCAGGTAGCCCCCAACCCATTATGATTTTTAAGTTTCCATTATAAACCCTATAGGTCATGAAATTCCATAGGGACTCCCATCCCACCAAACCCACTCATGGCCGCCCCATCCCCTTGGCCGATCTTGGAGTTGCATTCTATTGAAACACCACATGGGATTGGTCTATCGAACAGTCCCAAAAGCTCAAAACTCAGGAGTCCCGTTTCGGAAACACCGTGTCCACCGTGACCACATGGGTCCGGATCCCTCTGGATCGTCGGACGGACGGACAGGAGTTGGATCAACGGCCCGACGTGGTCGACTTCTGGGACATCCAGGGCCATGCCGATAGCTGTTGCTCGGCGGACGGGCTTGGAGCGAAAGCCGAGCTGTTGTGCAACGGACGGGTTCATCCGTGGGAGGTGGGAACATGCTGAAGAAGGTGAATCATCCGGAAAAAGAAGAAGGTGCAGGGGAAAGGGTTTGGGGATCAGCCAGGTGCCAGGATTTGGGTGGGTTGGTGGGGAACCACGTATGTGAAATGCATCAGTGCCAAACAAATCCTCTACATGAACTATAGATTACTGTAATAATGAATTGAGGAATTACTCTGAAATCACTATCGCTGACATTGATTCACTGGAGGCGCAACTAAATGGTGAAAAGGTGGAAACCCGCATTTTGCAAGCACAGTACGTGATGAAGAAGCTTAGTTGGCTTTTGCACCTGTCCATGAAGCGGTCCTTTGTAAACTCTTTGTGAACACCCCAGATGGACCCAACCGAACCCCAGATGGACCCAACCGGGTCGGGCTCTCGGTTTGTCGGAGGAACACGCACCGTGCCGCCAGGCTATCGTACTTCGAAGGACTGGGCGACCGGACGTCGAACCGGCCTTTGGGTCGAACCAAAGGCCAGTCTCGGACTGGGTCCACGAGGGCTATCGGTACGTTGAGGCTAGTGGAGGACTCCCTCTTGAAACGACAGAAATACCAGGAACGCCTTTGGAAAAGCAAGACAAACAGCACAAGCAGCACATCACCAAAAGACAAGAACGAGGCAACGAACCACGACATCAGCATGAATCAACTTTGTTCGTTCCTCTTTGCAATGGAAATTGGCATTGCACAAACATTACACTACGATTCACGACTGCATAAAGCGGCTTTATCCACAGGTTTAGGATGTTCTTGAATTCTTGCAGCGCTGATGCGTTTAGCCTCCTAACCAGGGTATGGATCGTCCATGTTATTCCACAACCTTTTTCCTTTGTACTCATTGGTTAAACGCATGGAGCATCTGGCAGATCTCCAGTCAGTGGGTGGTATCTGCCATTGACTGGGTCCGGCCGGCCTAAACCGTTGGGTCATAGGTCATCTCTTCGGGGACCCATGATGCATTCACAACCCCACCAGCCGAATGGACCATGTACGTGGACCATGCGTGCGACCGAAGAGGAGGTACCTGGACCCTAAGAACTGGGAACTTGAGGCAGACATCATCAGCCCTGGGAATGATGGGCCTAGAGTAATACCCCGCATTATGCTTCCTTCGCATGAAAGCCTATAGTTGAAGGAGGCTTTGGGCACTCTTTGTTTCTCGGAGATCAGTTTTTTGGACCAAAACCCGATATGTCGGATTAGTGCGCGAAGGGTGTTGCTTGAAGTCGTGTGGAGCACAGATTGAATAGTAAAATGGCAATTGCATGGATAGGTGGGAAGCTTTCTAGCTATTATATGCTATTATTTTACCGTGCGGTGGTCGGATGGGCAGCTTTTTGCTGCGCAGCACCGGAATCCCCTTGGCGGGAGACGGTTTTGACTCACAGCCATGTTGTGGATGTTTTGCATTCAGCAAGGCTGCCCCCCTTGCCCAGCAGCTCGCATGAGGACAACGATGATATGCTACTGTTCTCACGTTCTCTGAAGAATCCACGTGATCTTTTCTCCACGAATCCAAGAAGGTCAGAGCAGAGCCCCCAAGAAGCTTTGGTCTCGCATGGCCCACCGAAGTTGTTCGTGGTTCCTTGCTCTCGGTTCCGCCCTGCTCAGCCCTGCAGGACTGGTTAGGCAGCGAAGAAAGCATGGCAACTCGACCAGAGCTGTCAGACTCGAACCCAAGTTGTCCGACTCGACTTGGAGCCGCAAACTGCAGGTTGGATCGACTGGCACCCTTTGAGAAGGTGATTGGAAACACTTTTATGGCTTTGGGGGTCCAAATACTTCCTGAGAAGGTACGACTGGATCCCTAGGGTTATAGAACCACTCTGATGAGTGAATTTCTATCGAAGCCCAGTCCCAAAGCATGGGAGCTTGGAGAATATATACTCATGATCTCAGTGGAACCACCCCCGTCTTGAAGACTCCCAACATCTCCCAACCTGATTATTTGAGATTTGTGTGGGTGCTGGAAGAGTGCCACATCACTCATTCTACCTTATGCTGGATGTGTGTTCATTGGTGGGAGGGAGCATCCTTATTCAGAAAATGATTGCCTTCACTGAATGCCTAGGTCAACCAAGTCTGTTTTGGTTGTGTTATATAAAGGCTCTGAGATGCAGCTATTATCTTATCCCATGGCTCCCGCAATATTGCCATACTATATACTATATTTTTCAAACAAATTGATCGATGAAGCATGGTAGGGTCTTTTGCTCCGACTTCAGATTTCAATTTTGCCAGAAGGTTCTGGAGTCGTCTTCAGAAGGTTTGACGTCGTGACAGCCTCCGGCCGCTACATGACGTGTTTCAACTTTCAACATCTTTCAACCAATTAGGACATGCCGCCCTTTCCTGGCGCAAAGACCCGGCGCACGTTGTGTCCACCCCCTTGTGCCGAACCAGCTCGACAGCTCGACGGTGGCGTTTCCGTGGGCTTCGCCCAGAGGCCAAGTGTCGGCAGACGAACGGTCACATCGTGTTCGTGTCGCACTGCTGGAACAAGCCGGTGGGTTGGGCCGGGACCTCAGAAAAAACCAGATGGAGGTGGATGGGCGAAAAACGGAGCGGAGATGGGAGTGATCTTAGTTGGTGGAGGGAGGGTGCAGGCTTATCATGGTTTACCCTTTCAAATCCTTTCATGATATTATCGACCACGGCAAAGTTTGGCTTTCAGAGTGCCCTGAGAGATGGAACATCACCGTTTCACCTCAGTCACGTGTCTCAGCTTCACTTCTCTTGGGGCCTTGGATAGGGTGCGCCCTTCCGAGAAGGCGTTCGAAGAGACAATCATCCCATCCACTTGCGCCCCCCCCCAAAATGGCGGAAAGGGGTGCAGTTGCCGCATGATGCTGGGTTCATGAATCAATATGAGAAAGCATGATGATTGGCAGTATGAAAAGCGACCGTGTTGGCTGCATAGCATGCTGCATTGATCATCTCCAAAGAATGTCAAGACAATGATTTCAAACTGTCCAGAAAAGATGACAATCATACACTACTCACTGACGATCAAGGCAGGTTTGAGGGTTCTTAATTATATTTGATTATATAATCATTATAATCCATGCACTTAGTCTAAGTCCTTGTCCAGCGTTGTTGTCTCACTCTCTTTCTCTCTCTCATCATAAATTTCCTGATATGACAAGCATTTGTTCTGATTGTAACCCAATCCTTGGTCGAACGTGTCAGGCCGAGACCATGGCAAAGCAAACCAGCTTCCCGCTTCTTGGGCAGAGAGGAGGGCAAATCTGTGTCAGTTGCCAGCTGAAAAAACAGTTTTTTGGGCCCCTCTTCTTCGCTGGTGGTTGTGCGGGAGCCCGTCAAATTTTGCGGAAAACTGCTTACGCGGTTTGGGTGTTTGGGGATTGAATATGCACACCTGACAGAGCATGTCCCAACAGTCTCAAAACCTGGGTAGGGGGCATGTGGAGCTTCTTGAGAAAACGATAGTAAAAGACAACCTATTGGTCACCTAGTGGTCCACTACCTATTGGGATCCTACCATGGTGGTCTACAACGACTCCGTTTCTACACGGGTCTGCTGTCTTCTTCGCTCCCAAACGATCGAGGCAGACGAAAGCTGCAGCACCCTGGCGTGGAGACAATATGACGGGGTGAGGGACGGAGACCGTGTGGGCGGAAAGTTGAATGGAAGAGAAGAATAATGAAGAATAGTTAATAAGAAAAACAATAATATTAATGAATAAAAAATATAAGTAGAGGAAGAAAAATAATAAGAAAAAGAAGAAGAAGAAGATGAAGATGAAGATTAAAGTGTGGAGATGTGTCCGGAATGATGAATCTCCTCGTTTCTTTCCCACTGACCTTTGTTCTTGTGCCTGCAAGCGATGTTGTAAAGTGTTTTGACATCGCATCAATCGCTTCACCTGGTATGCGGATAGCCTGGCCCGAAAGCACTAGGGGGAGCTGTTTTAGCCGAGCAAAAAAAGACAAACTACTTCAGAATACTTGAAGCTTGGATCCTTAGATCAGCTCAGATAGCTCACACCTATACTTGTAGAAACAAAAGGAATCAAAAGGAAGCTAATAGCGATGGCCTCCAACCCAATAGCGATGGCCTCCTTAAGTACTTAAGAATACTTGAGATGGAAGCTATATGTCTCTTCGGCCTGCTCAGCACCAAAGTAAAGCGCACAAAACGAAAGCGCACCAAACGCCGTCTACGTAATGCACTCGAACAACAACATCGTATTTCCATTGCGTCGTTGGTGTGCGCCAAGAGGCGGACCTATACAATTCCGTGGACTCCGCCACTCCCACGCGTCCGCCCGGCCTGCCCTCGCTCTTCTTGACCCGCCCACAGGGCGGTGCACCAGACTCTCGACCCGCTAGGATGCTGTGAAGCGTGACTCGTGCGGGCGAGTCTCTTGTCAGCGTTCGTACCAAAGGAAGCACCGGGAAGATGCGAGGTCAGCTGGTCGCACGTCGATGAAAGAGAAGACAGTTCAGTGGAGCGCGAGCGCATCTGAGCGCCATGTCACGGCGATTGACGGCTGGGAATTGGCTGTAGGCTATGTCTCATTGGTCTTTTCTACTTCGCCATTCGCCCCACACATCGGCCCAAGAGGGACGGTAGCACACCGGCGGCACACCGCACATCGCACCACACATCGCTCGCTTCCCGAGGAGCTTTGCTGCTATGCTAAAGATGCTTGCAGGAACCTGCATCTCGGTCTTCGTGAACGAGTCCTTTCGGCAACCGACCCGGGGCCGGAAACGCTCGGGTGGGAAAGGCATGGACCATCTGACCGTGGCCAATGCGTGGTTTCTCCCGAAAAAGACAAAAAAACACCTCACACACTCATGGATCGTTGCTTGTTAGATCCGGTTGTTCGTTTTTGTCCTTTGGCTCCAGAACAGGGGTTACTCAGGTTCTAGGATGTTCTACCCTCTGACTCTGACTCACTGGAAGGGGCTTGCCCCTCCTGTTTGGAAGTGTAACCCTTGAATCCCTATGGCAAGACACGGGAGAAGTCATGGCAAGTCTGGGTCTCCTTCCACCTTTCAACTGCTTCGGCCCGTTTGAATTGCTTGTGTTTTTCAGGCGGCTTGACTTGGGTCTGGCCAGATCCAAGCCATCGAGATCGGAGGCCTAAAAGTCACATTAACTATAGTCGATCAACGTCACCCGGGTTCTTGAACGATGCTGATCCAGAACGTCCACGCCATGACCTTCCTAACTCCAAGGTACCGAGGCCACGTCCCAGGTCCGCTTCGTTTCACCGGGGGAAACCACCAGCGAATCGCGGCCGGGTGGCGTCCCATCGAGGGGTGAACCGATGTGAGCTTTTCAGTTCACTAGCTCGCCAGAGCTCATGGAACACAGCGCTGATTTCAGCACATTGATCACATGATCCAGCGTCACAGAGTCAGGTTCCATGAGTTGTTTCGTCCCACAGGCTGTTTGGGGGGGGTGTAGGTCATACTTAGAATACTTACATGGCCACATATTAGGCCACCTGCACCTAAGCGATACTCGTCACGGCTGCTCCGGAAATCCTGTTCTCCCACAGCGAGCTATCGACCTTTTTTTGGCCCCCTATATGTATAGACAAGGATTTGAACTAATCAGATTCCCTACAAAATCCTAAACATTGATGTTGTCCATGACTCAGATGATTTCTGGTGCTTGTCCCCTCTCATGACCGAACCCACCGCTTTCAGGTATGGGGATGCCAGCACTTGGGGCAGCATCGGCTTCTGGATCGACAAGGTGCTTCTTTTCGACACTTCTGCGTCGTGGATGGCCTGAAGTTGATGTTTTGCCCTAGGGCTCCTGGCCAGGGGTGGGTCCCAGGGGGGTCAAATACCACCGAACCTGAGGAGATGGGCCAGGAGCCCAAACGGGATAAAAGGGTTGGTTATTAGGAACATACATCTTCAGGGGGGTTTATAAACCACCCGACCTGGGTGGTGCTGATATATCTATATATACTATATTATATATATATATTGTACCATGTTAATCTTATTCATCTCAGAGTCTGAATTTGCATTCCTGGAAACGTAGGCTAAAAAGTCCAACCTGAGTGCCTTGTTGAAGAAATTGAGGCTTGCATTCAGACTTCAAGCAGGACTTTCACACTGGACAAAGTCAGGAATGAAGGCCGTTTGCATCACCTTTTTTTCTGATGCCTGAAGTGCTTCTTCTTTGCAACAAAAGCAATTGTGGTTGTTGGAAGTTTGTGTAACATGTCATGAACGTGTCAGACCACCTTTAACCGCTTTAACTTTCCACCGGCCCCGACATTTGTCCCCTGCGGCAAGCAAGAATACTGAACAATTTCACACATTGTGCTATTTTGAGCGATGTTCTTGGATTGTCCCTTCTGTTTCAGATGACTTCAGCTCTCGACTTTACCCGTCAAATGTCGATTCTACACACCACCAACCACGTGAGACAGCCTTTTGTGCTGATTTGTCTTCCGTGACCGCCCGTGACTGGCAGGCATGCATCCCCCAGGGTGATCCAGACATGATGGCGCTCTGCGTCAATTTGCTTGAAGAGTTTATCGCTCTCTCTGCGCCCTGGCAGAGAAAAAAGGGAACAGGGATTCGTGGAACATGCACAGAAGTGGAAGTGTGGGCACAGGCTCTGCAAATATGGAGTGGACATGAGTGGACATATCATTATGTGGACATCATAAAATAAAACTACATCAATCTGTAGTATACTTGGTTGCCTGCGTAAGGTGTCGGTGTGGAAATCCAGACCTTTGAAATAGCTATTATCACCATTTGTGAGGTGACTTTTGCACCCCATTCTCTTTTGAGCACCAAAGTCACAGACTTTTTGTGCATGAAGAATACATGGGTTCACCCGTTTTCACCAACCGATCAATTTCCCAAGCTTGTTGTTTTGCCCCGCTTTTTTGGTCGCTTTTTTTTGTGATTTAGGGATTTTGGGCGCCTCGCTTGCTCCAGGATGGGATGATCGTTTTGGCCTCCTGGAACTACTTCTCGAGGCACCTGGACCGCCGAAAGCGTGTTCAAACGCGACCTCACCACGGCTTTTCCGCCTTCGTTGAATCGTTCCCGCGAGAAGTCTTGGTCAAGACCGTGGATTGGGCTTTTGGAGAGGACACGGGAAGAGCGAGATTTCCTGTTAGGCACTATAGAAGCATAGAGCACGGAAAGCCACCAGCGATATATAGAGCTGAGGGGGCAGGAGATATGATATCTATATAATATATATATATATATATGATGTTTCATGATCAATGTCCATTGTGTGAATGCGAACCCTTCTCTTCATATGAGAAAAGGCCAAAACATCCTATATAAAGAGTTGTAGAGGTGACCTGCCATTGACTTCGTAGAGCTTTGCAATCACTGTGTGTGTGTGTAGCGATAGGGAACCGACCTGTTAGAGCAATACCTGTTCCAGGAATATGCCAAAGATCGTTTGACCATGTTTGACCTATGTTTTGGAACAACAAGTTTGGGTTTTTAGAGCGATACCCAAACCGATACCGGTGTGTGTGATATATGTGTGATATGTCCTAGCCAGCTCCCATAAGTTCCTGCCAAAGAGCTGGTCAAGGCCGCCTGGCAATTCGGGTCAAACAATGGCGGCTCATGTGGTAGCTTCAAAGAGGAACCACAAAGAATCGTCAGGTTGGAGGGAGATTGTGGGGTTGTTGGTTTTTGCTTGAGACTGTGTGGAGCAATAGTGGAAGCAGAATGGCTAACATGTTTTGACAGCTGCACATATTATCAGCAGCCGCCCAAACGTGCAATGACTAATTTAGTAAAGAGCGGTCCTGAATTTGAGGAATTGGGCTAAAACCTGCAAAAGCGATAGGCTCCCTTCAAAAGCGTTAACCTTGCTGAATCATGTCCTTTGCTTGACAGTATCTTTTGGCAGACACTCATATCTCCTCTATATGTTCATACCGTCTAATTACACGCATCTGGATCACTTAGGCTTTGGTGTGTCTACGAATGGGTGTGTGGCTTGCTGATCCATAGCGCCATGGAGATTGAGATCCTGGCAGATCCCTTCATTCGTGACTCCACCGTCGAAGCTTGGTTTCCACCAGCGGCGCGGGAACGAACGCCGAACGCCTCTCGTTGGTGGATTTCGCCATGGCGGTTTTTGGAAGAACACTGGGGTAGCTCGGGTAGCTATTGAAGGCTGCGTGATAGCTCGGTTGAAAGCATACAGTGGAGCCGTTGATTTGTTCTTTTATGTTTCTTCCTGTGAGAGGCATAAGCTTAGTGGCGTTTGGTTGGTGAAACCTGGGAAGATAACAATCCTGCGGATCAGCGTTTTTGGGGTTAGAGAGTTTGGGAAGATCGTCTTTTGTGGGAGTGACCAACCGAAGTCACTCAACCCACCCAGTGCACCCAGGACACATACCTGCTGTGCATTCGCAACTTCAGCGTCGCCAAGTGCAACTGTAACAACGAGAGTGACCGGCAGAGCCTCAACCGCCGTGAGCCCCACCTCAGCCTCAACGCTGACCAGTTCCATCTCTTCGAGGGCATGGTGGGCTCCGATATGCCGGATCTTCTACTAGAAGCGACATGAAGCTACTAGGTGGAGGCCATTGCTAGTAGGTTGGAGGCCATTACTACTAGTAACAAGTAAGCTACTAGTAGCTAGAAGCTATATGTTTGGTATATGCATGTTTGGTATATTTGGGTTTGACAGGGCGGGCCGCCTCAGCATTGCAAGCACCAGCCCTCAGCCCTCAGAAGGGGAAATTCGGAATACCGCATCCGAGAGCTGGACGCGGACCTACAACCAACCAGACCCAACCGGTGTCCATAGTTGCGCGTTGCTTCTTATGGCAGTCTTTACACGCGAGGCAGGCCCGACATCGGTGAGGTTGTCGGTCATCCGCAGGCCCAACCGAAGACAACATACACAGTGAGATTGTGGTGAATTGTTGTTCACTCTGTCACAAAATCGAAGTGCTTTTGTACGATTTTGTCCTGATCCAGGTAGTATGTGTTTCGAAGTGTATTCCAGGATTCATGGAAATGGAGTGCTGCCGGGTCCAAACACTCCTGTACCAACTGTCTATTGATGTCTTTTGTGCTGTTTGTTCAACTTTATTTCATGTGTAGGGCTGGGTGACCACGTCATCCGTCGAGGACATTGATCGACAAGGTCCACGCCTACTACAAGCACCCTGTCTACTTGACCCTGGTGGGATCTGAGGGGTCAAGTAGTGCTGATTTCCACGTCGGCCACGCACCAAGCGAATCCACTACCTGTAGGCGGAGCTACGAGCTTAGTGAGGGGTCATCTCTTTGTAGGGTGTTTTCCTTGGGCTCACTGGAGGGATGGTGTCCCTTGGTCGCTGAACTTCTTGGACTCGTCATCGATGCGAAAGGTCGCCGTAAGGTCGCACCTGGCATTCTGCAGACCGTGCGTTCCGTTCCCAAGAAGCCTATATATTAGCCTAAAAGGAATAAAGCCGCACCAGTTCCTCCAGTTTCAAGATCAAGCTGAAGCTTCCAAGCGCCAAGATGACATCTGAAAGCAATTGGCAGGTGGCACAGAGAAGGTGTTTCAGCGCCCAATCGGCTGAAAGGGGCCAGTCAGGCTCTTTAAGCCCACCACGCGAAAAGGGCCAAGAGCGGCCAAGAGGCAGGTTCGGTGTTGTGAAGAAGAGTTCATGGTGTAGGTACTATCCTTGGGATAGTGAAGAGGTATATGTGTAGATACTGTACACGGCTGATCACAAACATATTTACACCACTTGGGGGGTATTGTTGATCAACGCGAAACTCGCCCACCTGCCAGTGTTTCATGCATGAAAGCTGCGAAACTCGCGCACTCGCTGAGGTCGGTGGCAGACTTCGAGCGGTTTTTTCAATGTTCGGCCCCTTTGGATCGAGACGGAGGATGGATAACAGTCACTGGATGGGACATGATGGGACCTCCCAGACACTGAAGGATGCACCAACCCGACCATGAAGAGATGGCAACAACAGCTGTTTGGTTCGAAAACCCAGGGAGTATACGCGAGTCTGGGCGCCAGACACGACTGTTCCTGTGAGGATGGGAGAGTTGCCAGGCTCCGTTGCCTGCCATTGGGTTTGCTGCTGGAAATAGAAGTAAAATAGCCATACCGGCTTCTTCAACTGACCTTTTGAAGGTTCCTAAGTGACCCTTAGGAGGCTTAAGTGACCTCAAACCAGGTTATCAAAAGGTCACTTTGAAGATCCAGGTATGTCCTGGATGTTTGAAGTTTGATTGGTGTTGGAAGATGCTGACAATTTGATGTGTGTCTCACGTTTTTGTTCATTGACTAAGGGTTACCGAGGGTGGAGTGTGATGTTTGTTGGGGATGTATGACTATAGATGGGTCCATTCGCAGTGGATTGTACATGACCTGCACATCAAAATCTGCTGCCCTAAACAGAACAGGGGGTGCAACTAGAATATCGGGGATTATACCGAAAATAGATGAGATACATCAGGTTCATCCACAAAGATTTATATTTTGCCCAAACCCTTGATTCGTGGCAAAAGAGGCATCTAAACAGCCAATTCTGTACAAGGTCCATTTTGAGGTTTGATCCTGGCCAAGGGAGAATTCGAAGGGTACATCTCGTAGTGACTGACCTTTTGAGAATCAACTTGGTGGCTCTCACACACACATCACGGCTTCACAAGTACTTTACCTAATGTTGGATCCTGATTAATAAATAGGCCCCCCCTAGCTAAACGATTGGAGGGGTCTCTACAATAAACTAGTACCAAAACAATTCTAGATTCCTGGTAGACTTCCTTTTGCAATTCAATGTTGTTTTCCTTTTCCTTTCATAGATTGTATTCAGTAGTAGTTGTAGTAGTTGTAGTTGTAGTTGTTGTAGTAGCAGTAGTAGTAGTGATCAACTATGATGAATTGCTTTTTTTATTCAGGAAAAAAAACTTCGCACAATTGAGGACCCTTAAAACAAATTCATTATTGAGGATCACGGGCCTTCCTGGTCTACTACCTTGAAAATTTGTTTAGGAGCACTCTTTTCATCAAGGATTGATTAGGGAATTGATGGTTTTGGGAAGCTGTCAGTCTTGAAGAATAATTATAGAAACCTATACTTATCAATACCCCCAGCAAGCCAACCATTGGCTTAGTAGATTAATAATTACTATTTGTATGTTTCTTCAGGAAAAAACTTTGCACAATTGAGGACCCTTAAAACAAATTCATTGTTGAGGATCACGGGCCCTCCTGGTCTACTACCTTGAAACTTTGTTTAGGAGGAATCTTTACATAAAGGCATAAAGGATTGATTAGGGAATTGATGGTTTTGGGAAGCTGTCAGTTTTGAAGAAGAACTATGGAAACGTATACTTATCAATACTCTCAGAAAGCCAACCATTGGCTTAGTAGTATTAAGCTTTAATATATCTATTTCTTAAAGGAAATATACTGAACCCTAAATATTTTGGCAGCTCAGGCCAAGAAGCAGGCTTTCCTCAGCCAAGGACTAGGGTTGTAGTTAATTAACATCTTGTTGGTGGTTTGTTTGTTTGTTTGTGTTTTGCTTTGCTGCTGGCTGCTTGCCTGGGAAGGGAGGGGGGAGTGCAAGTGGACAGGGTTCATAAGGAATTCAAACTCTTATCAAGGTCCAATATTAAAAAAAGAAACAATTAGGGTCCCCCAAAAAAGTTAGCATTATTCAGACCCCATTTTTCAATAGGGGTGGCTGGAATAGTTTTTGAAAAAATTGCATTATTGAGGACCCATTTTCTAATCAGGATCCAACATTACCAAGACAGAAGGACCAAGACAGAAGGGTCGGTCTGTGGAGCTCACTCCAAAGTTAAAGTTAGTGTTGATGCAGTGTTGACATTTGGTTGCTTAAAGGGACGCGAACGGGACGGGGGGATCACAGCATTTGTCCTTTTACCGATTTGTGGTGCACAGAGATTTGTGGCCAACGGGGATCGAGAGTGTGCATCAAATGCGGAAATCGTTCCAAACAGACACGTTTGGTTTGAAGCAACTGAAGAAGACCAAGAAGAACCTCATCGACTGAAAGAACCAGTGATTGAGAGGAGACCCCATTGTTTGCCAACAAAAAAGGTGGCAAAGCCCTAGGTAGGGATCCAAGTACCTCTCAGAAGGGTACGACTGGACCCTGGCACCTACATAAGAGTGTCGAACACATCACCGTGCGTGAGAAGGTACGACTGGATCCTTAGGGTCAAGAACTGAACCTTCGCTTCAAACCTTTATAGACTCATAGACTATCTCAACAAAAAAACAAGAACCTTACTGATCCCGGACACTCCATGCATAGTATTTTGTTCATCTACAGTACATGGACGCCTGGTGTTTCAAAGAAACATAAGACACCACCAATGTAAAACAATGTAGACCCCCAAATAGATAGAAAAGTCGATCCCCACTACCCTTGGACACCATTTCTATCTAAGAGCACCACAGGAGTAGATGTCAGTCCGCTTGGATGTGCTTCATACGAGGTCGTCGTTCAAGCCGCTGGAACCCCCGAGGTCATCGTGTGTTTCTGCCGTTGCATCGTGAAGCGACGCCTCATGACACAGCGCGAGCATGAAGTGCTGAAACCCTGGAGCCTCAGCCGACGGCCCGTGGCGGACCGAAAACCGCGTGCGGGCCGGGCCGGTTGACAGATGCGCGATGGCAACCCGAAGGAATTCCTGAGAAACCATGAGAAACCTATACATAGTATAGTATATAAGTCATAGTCATGATACAACTTGTCATATATACAATATATAGTATATATTAACTATAAACATATAAAGTTAACTGTATGTATATATATATTTGTTATTCCAGGACCTTTGAAGTAACCTTTTGAGGTTACTTAGTCCCCAAAGAGGTCACAAACAGAGACTCCAAAGAGGTCACGAACTGAAGGTCCTGGTATGTCCTGGTTATTACACCTCACAACAATCACTTGAGAGCTGGTCAGTATGTCCCATGTTGAGACTTCAGCTATATTTGCCCCGATGAGTCCTATCCCTCTCTCCAATCGCTTTTTTCGCGCAAGACGCGTGCGCTCGTCTTGCGCTATTCCTCGCGCCGTCTGAGGAGCGACCTCTCCAAGGCTTGTGGCTTCGAAGAAATGGCCCTGCTAATCCGCCAGCTCTCCAAGAGCCTTGCCAGGCTCGGTTAGGACGAGGGCATCAACCGGGAGGGATTGGAAATGGCTGGATTTCTCACCATATATAGCGCTTATATATAGGTTCCATGGATTTGGATGTAAGATGATATCAACATCTATCAAATGAAGAAGCCAGGGCTCTCAAGAAACGGGTCCACGTTCAGTTGTTTGTTCCTTTTTCCGTTGCGAGACGAATAGTGAGCAAGTTGAAGTAGAATAAGTCCTCCAAAAGTTCAAGAGTGCAAAGATGCTCATTCTTTCACTTACGTTTCCCTAACAGAGCTGGTTTCAAGCTCTGCAGGTAGGAGCATGTGAGGAGTGGACACTTCTGGACCTTCTTGGTGGTTTAGGTAGCCCGCTTTCCACAGTCCGAGCTAGAAGTTGAAAGCCAGCACCACATTGTGGATATGTAGTAGAGTCTTATGACTTGTGACTTGTGCAACATGAGCGGAATCCCTTTGTGAATGGTATCCTCGCTTCTCTTCAACGCCGGCACGCGGCTCTTCATCTACAAGCTAGTGTCACTAGATCGGATGATGACCCAAGCAACGATCAGAGGCCGGTCCCGGATGGGTCCAGCACCCTTCAAGTTCCGAGACACTAACGCCGTGGTGTGGCTTCGCGCTTCACCTCGCACAGGTTTCAAGAAGAGGCCCGGAACAGCAGCAACAGCGGGAGTAGCTTCGACGTCCAAGCAGCCTTCAGTGTCTTGGTTTCGGGCAGCACGGAAAGGTGAAAGGACCAAGAGTCATTTTGTTTGGAGGTCAGTGGATGTTTTTGTATGGCTCAAAGACGCTCAAACCGACCCCAAACCAAACTATCAAGACACTCTTCAGTGACTCAGCACAATTGGAGGCAAGATGATGCAAGACCAGTTCCGACAACACCACTCCCTCGGAGCCTCCGGTCTTTTGTCCAGCCTATATCTGGGAACTCTCTCGTTTCAGCTCTCTTTGATGATTTTATGCAACTCAATTGGCCGGCTCCTGGGTCATTGCTGTCTTAGATCTCGGAATCAGTTGGATCGAATCGTCTACATCTTTCATGCTGTCTATCCCGATGGATCCACTGCCACCTTCTCCGGTTTGGTACGACTGGACCCTCCAAGACCACCTACATAACTGCCGTGGCCGTGTGGCCTGTGGATGGTGGGTTAGAAGATGTGACTTCAGCTCTTTTTGCAGCAGGAAGACAGGTGAAGCATGGTGAAGTCCAAAACCCCGTCTTAAACAGGTGAAGCCAGTAGTACCTCCACGTTGTCAGCAGGGGCCTCCAGTTTGGATATCATTGGGGATGGGTCCGGCCCCCCGAACTGTCCAGACCTGGTCCATCATGTAGAGACCAAGCTCCCAGCTCTACCAATGGGTCGGTCTGAAGCGATGGTGACTTCACTTGTCCGTCTCCACCCGTCTCCACCCGTCCCTTCAGGTTCCAAAGTGGACGAGCCTTGGCAGTGACTTCAGTCATCCTGCTTTTCAGCGGATGCAGCAGTTTGCAAGAGCAGAGCATCAGGCAGTGAACCTCAATGTCTTTCTTTACCCAGACCATCCATGGGACTTGCCTATTTGCCTACATTGGGATGTTTCAGGGGACAGTCTAGGCATATCCTATATATCCTCAACTGATTCCAAGTTTGGGGAAACAGGGTCTGCCTGCAGGGAGATGGTTCCAACATTGTGGAGTCCTTCAGCCACACAGGATCATATAGACTCTTGATCAATACATCCCCAATTTGCAAGTGTAAACCTGTTCATAGGTTATAGATGGTTATAGGGTGTTGTTATCAATCAAGAGCCTTCAAGAGTCTACATTGAAGTGATGTGTTCCACTTCTTCACTGGTAAGCTTTGTTGGTGATTTGTGGATCCAAAATTTGTACATGTAGGTGGCCAAAGCTCTGTTGGGCAGTTCACAATTCTCATTGGATCCCGTAGCTGATCCCGCTGGATCCAGTCATCCGGCCGGCGCCGGCTGGGCCTGAATCCCCTGCTTGGTTCCTGTTCTTTTCAATGGCCCTGGCACCCGCCATAAATTTGAACACATCTTGGTCCTGCACCATCTAAAATGAACAAAAGCCCTGCAACTAGTATACAGTAACTGCCAATTGGCGGAGGCTTCCGCTCTTGGCGGACTCAGGCCGAACGGTCGCCCGGCCGCAGCAATCCGCTTAGGATTGGTTTAGCAACAACGTGGCGCCCTTGCTCTTCGCGGAGCAAGAGCAGGCCACGAACCACTTTGGGATGACCTACATCCGAAACCTGCGCTTCGGATGGAAGATGAGTAGAATTGAATATTCAGACTGAGGACCTCACAGTCCTTGAACTAGAGCACCCTCAACATTGACTGACAGAAATGATCTAGAATGAATGTGTTTGCATATGTCATCACAAGCCTGGATCATCCATTCTGGTTCACCTTTTTGACTAAATACCTGCACTACATATCACTACCTCCAAACAGGACACCCAGACGGTCGGATGATCCTGGAGAAGATGATGATGATTGATTTTATATGGTCACTAAAGAACAAAACATTCAAAGGGTATAGTCACGTGGTCCCTGGCTAATGCATAGGCCGTGATGGCCCCTCAGATCCCCATTCTGAGGCGCACCTTGACGGACAACGCCAAGCTGCTCGGAGCGGTCGATGCGTTTTCCGCGTTTCGGACGGCCCGGTCGACGACGGACGGCCCGGTCAGCAGTCATTTGGCTTGATCGGAAACTGAAAGACAAACGAACATGTCATCTACCAGAACCCCCTACACTCCCTGAAACAATCATGGAAGTGGAACATAGGCCCCCCCTCGACCCCTGGAAGGCCATTTTCCTCTACAAGTGAGGCCTGCGCAGCTTCCATGGTTGTTTGAGGGAGGGTAATTAAGGGGGTTCTTTTGATTGGCCCTCAGACCCTCAGAGGTTGAGGGGTGTCCATGAACCAACCCTTAGTGGGTCCGGTCACGTAAGACCTTGATGTCGAGCAGCATTTTAACTACTCAAGAGTCCGAAGTTCACCTTGAGTGAAGAGCTTCCTTGTTCTTTTGCTTAGTGTCGCTGGACCAGTTAAGGGGGCTTTTTCTTCCAAATCAGAGAGTCCGGAGAGTTGGTGGGGAATTTGGCACGGAGACTTCCATACAACTCTCAAAAAAGTTGGAAAGCCATTAAAGCCAAGCAGCTTGATGCGGTCAGCTCCCGGTAGAGGAATATGTGGCTCGCAGGGCGAAGCTGCATCATTGAGGCCCCAGTGTTGTTCAAGTGCATCCGGCTCCGACGGAGATCACTTCCTCGTTGCGGTGTTTCGCAGCGACTCACTGAACATCTCACTGAAAGCTGGTGCACCAAACCCACCAATTTTGGGATGAACACACTGCAGCAGTTCCATCGAAATCTGACATCCATCGAAATCTCGGGCAGCGCAGACGCCGTTTTCTCCGCAGCGCAGACTCGGCTTCGGTCGTCAAAGCTCAGGCACAGCTCACAGACTCTGAACGATGCTTGGCGTGCCAAGTCGTGCGGTCGAAGTCAGGCGGACTCTGACGGGACCAGCTCAGTTCAATGGGAAGAGGGGCCACCCACCTAAGAGATCAGGAGAAGCTGATCAAGTTCTAGGATGTTCCAGGTCTTTGTTTTTCCACTTGATTGCAAGGCAGCTGACTGGTTGACCATGGTTGACCTCTTCTTTTGGTGTGAAACTCTCATGATTGCAAGTAAAGCAAGGTGGCCTATGGTGGCCCCGAAGTCACCAAAGTCCCCATGGTAACGATGGTTCTGGACCTCCAACGAGGTCAGTGTGGTGTGAAGCGTGAAATTCCCTCGGTGGGTGGACAGCCACCGAACGACCAGTCATACCCAACAATTCGAGTTGGAAACTGAGTTCTGACATTTGAGGTCCAGTGTCCCAAGATGAAGGTCATCCTGGGTACAGACTGGGTTTTGACTGGGTACAGACTGGGCGCACGGCGCACCCCAAGAAAGAAACTGCACGTTCTCATGGGCTCACCAAGGGTTTGGAGCAGTGGCTTTGACTGTAGTAGTGGAATATAGTGGAATGTGTTCTACCTCTAAACGCAGTACCTCTCAGCAAGAAACCTACATGTTCCGATCTTTTCTGCACACTGGCAGTGGTCTTGAGGGATATATAGGAGATAACCAACCCAACAACTTAACTTAATCGGAGAACGGGGACGGGACTGGACTGGTTGGATCCACTGCAGATCTTCCAATCTTCTAACTTCCAGGCCCTTTCTAGCTTAAACAAAAACACCATCAGGTTCCGTATGGTCGAAAACTCATGTGTGACTCACTCTCGAAGGCGGCCCTCGCCTTCCGGCACCCCAAAACACCCGACGGGACGTTCGCTGCTCAGGACTGGTTGGACTCCACATCGGGTGGCCAGGGAGTCCTGCTTCGGAGCCACCGCAGGGCCGGGGCGGCCCAAAACGCGAAGACGACTCCGGACGGCGGGGGTGAGACTAGGAGTGTTGCTGTTGTTGTTGTTGTTGCTGTTGGTGTTGTTGTTGGTGTTGTTGTTGTTGTTGTTGTTGTTGTTGTTGTTGTTGTGTGTTTTGTGTTTATTTTTGTTGTTGTGTGTGTATTTAACTCTGAAAAGGTGGGTCGAAGCATTTTGATCATGTTGAAACCACCAAGCGATATGAGATGCCCCCCGATGAGATACGAGATACCTACCCCAGCCCAATTTTACAGGTCATGTGTTCTTGTTTCGGATGTGCCGTGCCATTCAATACATCGTCAGCAGTGTGAACATGAGAGGAATTTGTTTGGAAGGTGGGGGTGGTGGGGTGATTGGGAAAATGCCCCTGAACCACTTGGGACTTCAACTCTGGACCTTTGTATACAGAGTACATCCCAAAAAAGCAGTGTGATGTTTCTGTTCGGGAAAGAAGAATGGATGGTGATTCAGACCCTTCGGTTGCACTTGCCGTCCTCATAGCTGATATTGATGTATTGAAATGATTGGGGAGTGTCGCCAAAGGGATTAAAGGGATGTGACCATTGCACGCATGCACAAGTGTTGCTTGGCCATGTTTCAATCGCTTCAAATAGAAGTAACTGTCAGTTGTTGACAGATTGCACCGCCTGGTGGTTCGTTCATTTTTTCTCGCAAGAGCAGGTCTGCAAGATTCTGCAACCCTCAAGAAGGAAACCAATGTGTATAATCAATATTGTGTCAATCTACTCATATATATGCTACATGCAACCCCCGCAAAAAAAAGGAAACAACGTTTTCAGACAAATTTCTTGCTTGTATGTGAGAGTTGACCACAAATTTTAGTCTATATTGATTGGTGGGGCTATCGGCTAGCAAAACATGTTACTTTGCATGGCTTTTATATTATCTTATGTTTTTAATGTAAAATATAAAAGCAATTAAATATGTTGACCATTAATTTCCTCCACAAGCATTCTTCATTACCAAACAAAAAGGCTGCCGTCAATAAATTAATAGTCAATCAATCATAAAATACTAGCCTAGCAATGGACCGGGCATTAATATTCAAATAAAATAATGCCCTCATGATTATAGATTAAAGAAATAGATTAAAAGATACCATGAATTTTAAAGAATGAAAAGATATTCAATTCATGGGCATCATCCAAGAACCACCAAATTTAATCTCGTCCCAAGGAATTTGCTATCTTTTGTCTACCCCACCTTGCAGAGATGTCAAATTCCCTGGCAGGCTCAAAAAAATCAAAAAAATCAAAAGGCCCTAGTCACAAAATCCTGGCAGGCTCAAAAAAAGCAAAAAAAACAAAAGTTTTAGGATCTATGCGGGCTCTGGGGGGTGCATAAATTGTTGATTTGTTTAAGCCTGCCAAGGAATTTGCTATTTAAACCCTGCGGGTTGTTCCGCCGGCCTTTTCAGCCAATGGTCCCAAGATGCGGATTACCTTTTGCGTCAAGAGGAAAGACTGCAACAGAGCAGAAAAAGTAACAGCATCATCCAGAACACAGCTGGAGCAACAGAGAACCTACATGAAATGACGTGCATTATGATACAATAAGAGAACAAGGAGATGAAATTGGGGGATGCAAAGTATAGCCTGCCAAGCAAGAAGACAAATTATATGACATGTGACACAATGAGCGAAGTAGACCGTGCGAAGCAGCAAACGCACATAGCATTCCGTCAGACATGAGACAAGAGAGTATTGAGGACATGTGTGGCATGGGGATTTCCAAGCAGTCTGAGTCTGCAAAAAACGATAGATACGTGAGTGCAGGTGCAAGGCCTGAGAAAAACGCATGCAAAGCAGAAGCGCAATGCATGGACAACGACAAGAGAAGAACGACGATAAGAAGGAAGCGCACACAACCTTTCACTTTAGCTATGATATATGTGAGCTACATACATTCGGGATGTTCTTGGGGGGGAGGGGGGGTCAAGTTAGACGAGGCAAAAACTTGCTCCAGAGACACTTTTCTTATTACATATAGATTCAACATAACTTAAGCTACATACAAGCCACATTGATAAAACATGCCGGCGCCCAAGGGCCGGCGGATCTTTTATCTACCCCACCTTGCAAAAACACTGGCAGGCTCAAAAAAAAACAAAAAAAATTAAAGGCCCTAGTCACAAAACCCTGGCAGGCTCAAAAGAATCAAAAGTTATGGGGGCTCTGGGGGGTGCATAAATGTTTGTTTTTTTGGAGCCTGCCAAGGAATTTGCTATTTTTGTTTACACCACCTTGCAAAAACGCTGGCAGGCTCAAAAAAAATCACAAAAAACTAAAGTTTTAGGATCTATGGGGGCTCTGGCGGGTGCATAAATGTTTGTTTTTTTTGGAGCCTGCCAAGGAATTTGCAATTTTTTGTCTACCCCACCTTGCAAAAACACTGGCAGGCTCAAGAAAAAATATCAAAAGGCCCTAGTCACAAAACCCTGGCCGGCTCAAAAAAATCAACAGTTTTAGGATCTATGGGGGGTCTGGGGGCTGTCTAAATCGTTGATTTGTTTGAGTCTGCCAAGGAATTTAAAAATTTTTATATACACCACCTTGCAAACACACTGGCAGACTCAAAAAATTAAAAAAAATTATACACATTCCAGACCCCCCATAGATCCTAACACTTTTGATGTTTTTATTTTTTTGAGCCTGCCAGGGTTTTGTGACTAGGGCCTTTTGAAATTTTTGATTTTTTTGAGCCTGCCAGTGTTTTTGCAATTTTTGGTCTACCCCACCTTGCAAAAATGCTGGCAGGCTCAAAAAAAAATCGCAACAATTTATACCACCTATTTTAACTATATATTTGATCAGATGTAGGAGGATGTTCATTTAGCATTTTGATCAGACGCCACATGCACATTGCAGATTCAGATTTGTTGGTACCCCCCACCTCCCCTATTTGTCTGAAAGTGTCTACTTTTTTTTGGGGGGGTACCATATATTATATTTGTATATTTCTTCTCCCCAGTTGTGGTATTTTTCGCTCACGTGCTTTTGCATCTCGGACGCATCGCGGGAGATTCGGACGGGACGGGACGGTTCTCAGGACCAACCCGAACTCAGTGGTCGGTCGCCGGCGCCGCCACCTGCGAGGCATTGTATTCTGCTGCGTTCATTCCTGAAACTCCCCAGCCTTCGAGCAGCACGCTGGGCGGATCCATGAGGCACCGGTGCGAGCGGTTTGTGCGGTCTGTGGTTGATGTTTTTTCAGGCAGACTGGGTTGGATGAGTTGATTCCGTTATATATTATATAGACCCCCAAATAGATAGACAAGTAAAATCCCCTTTAAAGGGAATCCGTCTCGATCTTATTAGGGGTTATAATGACACCCCTATCAAGGCAGAGGATTCGTTTTGTAACAAACACCCGGTTTTGTGGACCTAGACGAATCATCGGGGGGTGGCGCAGTGCTTCAATGTTTGCATGTTTTCTCTTTCAGCAAGCAAGGACCTTATGGCAGAGTTGCATTGAAGGGGATTGGTTACACCAAACTTTCACCCATCAAGAGCGATGTTGCAGGAGATCACCCCTAGGAATTGAGGAACTGTATACAGGTTTCTTTCAGAGTCTAAGCGCCCGGCTGACTCTTGAGTAGCTGGGAGGGTCTAACCGGAGCTCTTTTGTTTGATGTCCGCCTGCCGCGGAACTGCCAGTGACCGGCAGGGACGGTGTTTGCGGTTCCACGCAACGAACAACGGACATGGGTTCGGGTTCCATCATGGAACCATACAAAGTAGATCCTGAAGACCAAAAGTTCTTCTAGTAGTATGTGCACGCGTGTTTTATGTGGGAAACCCAGTGTGTGTGGGTTCTCTGACAGGTGGGGAATGGAAGAACACGCACCACCACGCACTGAGTGAGTGGGTGGGGTATTGTGTCCCCATGTTTCTCATCTTGAAAGAAACCGCACTGGCTCTAGGTCACACGGCTGAATTTGAGTATGTTCACTTGAACGATCTCGCTTTTCACCCACACGCTGACCGGACCCACCAAACGCTGACCGGACGGGATGATCTCGGGGTGCGGTCCGGTCCGACCCCGACCAGTCTACCACGTCGCGAACGACCGACGTGACCGGTAGTAGGTCAAGTCAACCAAAGTAATTGTGCTGGTTTTGACCCACACGACAGACAACCAAACAGCGCGCCGGCGACAGCTCCCCAGTCCCACGGATCCGATAAGAAACGGATCCGATTCGCCGTGTTCACCTCAGGCCCTCTTCACTGCAACCCCTGCTGTCTCCTGGCAAGACGTGGGGTGGTGGCTTCTACAATGTTCAGTGGGCAGAGGGGTCAAAGTGCGAGGAGAACCCCCCAAGTGAACCAAGCATGATTTTGGCACCTCAGTTGCAAACCACCACCGTTGGCAAAGACCCTCAAGGGTGCCTAGCCCCTGCGCTGAGGGGTGTGTATAAACATGTCAAGACCGAGTTGTGAACGATTTTGCTGCTGGTTTCTGTTGAAGCCCAAAAAGTGCAGCAGTAGTAGCACAGTGTATCAACCAAGGCTGCTTGGTCGTGGAGTCCTTCTCACAAGAAGGGCTTTCAGCTGAAGATCCACTTTCACTGGATGTCACCATCACTGCCAGTGGTTTCCATCCATCTCTTCCACCTTCTCACCACCTTCGCCCAGAGCAACTCCATTTCCACAGATTTCAACCACCTTCCGTCCACAGTCTCCAAATCTCCAGTCCTTTTCTGCGGCACGGGGAGAAGTTTTTGTCGATCACGGTGTCACGTGAGTTTCTGAGGTCTCCCAACGTTTCCCAGGAGTTCCGGAGTCCCGTGGACACGGCCTTGGGTGATTTCATGAGGCGCGGATCCGGCGAACACACCACACCAATCTCGCGTGTGGGGGCACCGGGGTGCCCGTCCAAAAGCCATGGGAGACGAGGGGGCGAAATGGGGCAGGTCTGGGGCAGGTCTGCAGGTTTTGGACCCGTTCGCGGCCGGTTGGATGGCGTGAGAAAGAGGGAATGGCGGAGTACCAGCAGCTCAGCTGGGGTAACTAAAACAGAGTACCAGCAGCTTGCAAGACATGGTTCTAATTTGCAAAATTACACATGCACAGAAAGTGGGTTCGTACGAGACATGACAGGTGTTTGCACGGGGTTTCTTATGGGTTCCGAAGATGAGAAACCAAGTTGTTCGCCACACTTTTGTGGGTTTCTAGTGTTTTTTTTTGATGGTCTTTGAAACAATAACATGTAAACACAGTTGTTCATTGTTAAGGGTTTGGTTGCTCTTGGTACGCCAACAAGGGGCAACTCGCTCAAATGGCTATATGACTATATGGGTCAATACCAAACACACCGGTTGACCCATCATATAGGCAAGTTGGGTTTGAGGAGAAATGTGTGACACAGATATAAGAACCTATCCATTGGAGAGACAAGCACAGCTCAGGAGACAGGGTACTCTTCAGCTTTGTCCAGAGGCTTCTCTGCTCTGCTACAGAGGTGCTTTCTCAAGTACCCCGAGGCTCAAAGACATGCAGCTAGACAGACTGAGCTCTTCGGAGCGCAAGCGCCCAAGATGGATTCAGATTCAGCAGACTGGGCCTGGGGCTGCATTCACAAAAGCGCCAGGAATACTGTTTCCTGCCCAATTTCGCCAGACCGGCATGGGGTGAGACCCAGGATCGGACGTGAGACCGACATGCCGACGACGAAGCGAAGAGGAACGCGCCGTCGAGTTGCTCGCTAGTGGACGTTCTCGATGCGCAGCCAGAGGGGTTGGCAGAAATCACCAGCCTCAGCCAGCGCCTAAGCGTCACAGAACGGCCAACATGAGTAAGAAGTCCCAGAGTGCCCAAGCCAGCGCCCAAGCGAACAAAAGATCGTCCAGGAGACAGCACGCGATTGACCTCAACCAACATCGTCCACAGGAATTTGTGTTCTTGTTTGAGGGTATTGAGACAATTTCACCACATCGATCTGCAGCAGCACACTGAGATGTTTCATCAGCTTCACGCTGCGAGTTTCAAACTTGATGCTGAAATCAGGTGTTCTGACAGGTGGCGAACTCTTCACCGAACATAAGAGGTCTCGTAGTACTGCCCGAACAGCACGGCACCACCTTCCAGGTGGTTCATGCTCAACACCAGCGGAGGAAAAAACCAACGAAACCGCCCCGCTTGAAAAACCGTCCGGGGGGACGACCAGTGACCAGCGACCAGCGGATCCGTTTGGCGTTTCGTTGACCCCGCTGGTCACTAACGTACTTCTCTGACTTCTCTCCCCCGTTCTTGGCCTGAGCCTTGCTGAGGCTGTCAAGTGCAAAGCCCAACTGTCAAAATAGGTCACTGAGTTTCTTCACCAAGAAGCCGGAAAATGACCATCACCCTTATCCATTCTTGGTCTATGAAGCATCTTTCGTTTCGTCCCTTCATCCCATCATCCACGTTCCCATCATTCGCCCCTGCACGTTCCCCATCGCGTCCGTGTGTCCACCGAGCTGCGTCCCGGACCCGGGAACCCTTCTGACTCGCCAGGAGTGCGGCCCTCGAGACGTCACTCCTGAGAAGATAAGGCGGCGAAGAGCCGGGCAAACATCCTTCACATTGTCGGCTGCTCCACAAGACGCGGTTTCATCTCGCGGTTGGGGGGGGGTGTTGTTCAAGACGTGAGGTATTCCTCAGATGTGTCACTCAGCAGAACCTCTGAAGGATCTTCCAGACTTGAGCTGGTGTTTCGAGCCCTGCGGAAGAGGATTCCCCATCTCCGCTCCCACCGGGAAAAACCGAGCCATCCTGGCCCAGACACTCTCTCATATTGGGTTCATGATTGCAAGCGTCGACGTGCGAATTCGTTTGGGGTGTCTATGACGGTTCGTCGGAAGCAGAAAGCGGCTAAGCGGCCCCACGACGGTCCCCGGTCCTCGGTTTCATGACGGTTCGGGTTCTCTGTGAATCCTATGGGGACGACTGCAACAATCCCCTACTTTACAAAACTGTGGTCTTGGGTCTGGCTCGTTTTGCGGGTGGAAGGGGTGGTTGGTGTTTGGGTGTCGTTTAACTGCTCTTGGAGAAGTATGGAGAACTCAGATCTACTGGAGCCTGGGTTTCAAAACGTCCCAAAGCTACTTTTGTAGAAACTGCAAGAGCATCTCGTTATCCAACTGACATTCTTTCTAAAGGCAAAGACAATGAACAAAAGTACTTTACTTTGAGTGATCCCCACCAAGACATTTCAATCATGTGTTTTCACTTGTTTTCATGCCATGGTGAGGAACATGTTGCCATGGTCGTGAGTTTTGCGGTCTTTGATCTTGCTTGTAGGTCCTCGGGTTTGGGATTGTTATTTTATGCTGGGGAGTTCGCGTCAAGGTGTCGCCAGCGTCTCCAGTTGGCATCCAAGTGCTTCCCTGTGACCACCTGCCACACAAAACGCCACACACACACACAGGTAATTCTATTGTTGTAGTAGTCGTAGTTGTGTGTTTGCTGTGGTTGTGCGTTGTGGTTGTGTGTTGTGGGTGTGTGTGCTGTGGTTGTGTGTGTTGTGGTTGTGTGCTGTGGTTGTGTGTGTGTGTGTGTTGTGGCTGTGTATTGTGGTTGTGTGTGTGTTGTGGTTGTTTGCTGTGGTTGTGTGTTGTGGCTGTGTGTTGTGGTCGTGCTTGTGGCTTCTGTGTTTGTGGTTTTATGTGTTGTGGTTTTGTGTGTGTGTCGTGGTTTTGTATTTGTGCTTGTGTGTTTGTGGCTGTGTGTTTGTGACTGTGTGATTTTGGTTGGGTTGTGTTCTCGTGGTTGTGTGTTTGTGGCTGTGCTTGTGGTTGTGGTTGTGTGTTGAGGTCCGGTATACACGGAATCTGGCACTTGCACTTCCGGTTGAGGTCCGGCAATGCCCACTGCGATCGCGCACTGGCGGTTGACGTACTTGTAGTTGTGAGGTCCGGTGTAAGTGCCCACTGCGATCCCGTACTGGCCGTTTGAGGTCCAGTAGTACCCACTGCGATCTGGCACTGCAGTTGCGGTGGAGGAGAGGAGGAGAGGGGAAGAAGAGCTCTGACAAAATCTGATAAAATCTGACAACCCTCAGGTGGGAAACAATCACACCCACACACAGAATACGATGAAAAGGAGTTGGGATAGGACACAAAAAACAAAACAAGGGGCCCATGTGCATTCTCCGTGTCCAGAGGTCACAGATGGACCACCTGCCAGTTGCCCGGCTCGACGGATGTCCTGCAGCGGGAGAAATGATGTCATGAAGTACAATCATGGAAGTGGATGGCATGGCGCCCCTGAACTCCAAATGCCCAACAGGTGGTGGTTTTCAATTTCCTTGGACCATGAAATCTGAGTGCCAAACAATTAGGTTTTTCATTTCCCATGATGCTCCATTCTTTCAAGGAGTGTTCGCTGGCTTGTTGAGAGGATCCGAGGACCGACCGCATTTGACGTCCAAAAAATGTAAAAATCCTGCGTTTTTACCTCCCGCAAAGTCTGCACAGAATCGGTTCCAGTCACGGTCATCCGTTCTCCGCGAAATCACGAGATCTCCGGAGGCCGGCAAGGCCCGGGCCGGCCGCTAATGGACGGGGAAACAACACATTTCTCTTACTGTGAAGACGCCGTTTCATGCGACTGTTGGGTGGCAAAGCCAACCCTTGCAGTATGTTAATTGCAATGCCATTTTTCCGAGCGCTGCCATGGCCAGTATGTTCGTGTTGCACAACCGTACTCGAGCGCTTTGAGACGTTGGGCGTTTATTTTTACGTATCGTTGATGTATTCACATCGTCGGATAGTTACAATGTGGATTTAAACAAACATGAGGCAATTCTGCAGGCAGATTAAGGCCCACAAAAACCACACCCTTTCGCGGGGTTAACAATAGTACTATTTGCTCTTGAGGATGGTTCCATCGTAGCCAACAGGTATCAGCAGGTGCTACTCTATTGATCATAGTATGAACCACTGTCAATTCTGCAACCGTTCAGTGGTTCGACCTAATTTAAGACAAAACTGCGGACGTTGCAAAACCAGGAGTACAGCTGCGGATACTTTGTGAGTTGACTTTGTCCATCTGCAAATACCTGGACTTTCAATCGGCCCAACATGTTTGCTGATGGAGGCATTTTTCAGTGACACGACACCGTAATCGTTTCAAACATGTGCTCAAAATCCATGGACGCGGGAAAACCTTATTTAGACAGGGAAAGACGTGTTTTGGACGCCCAAAGACGCCGTTTGGACGCCTAAAAATGCAATTGTTTGTGGGCTTTGCAGTGTCCGCTTGGTCACAACCAAAATCGCTGTCTTTGGGAAAGTATGCCGTAACAAGTAACAACATTTTTCCTGAAAGACAATTTGTGCTGCTTCGAAGATCCAAATATGTATAGACTGCCTTTTTCGGCCATGGCTCATATGACTCATGTCATCTCATGTCCATGTTTTTTGGACTATATATGTAAATCATGTGTGCATTGTAGAATTTGTTGTCAGTTTGGTCGTTGTCAGCTTGACACTATATGTAGATGTAGATCGATCAGACGTTCCTCTTCTGGGGTAGCCTAGCTGCTGAATTGTTTGCAGATTCCAACTTGAAAGGCTGCCAGAGACAAACCTAGCCTCCTGCACAAACAGTGTATACTTGCACCACCAAGCCGCTGATTAAAAGGCCAGTCAACACACCTAGGACCTAGTCATGTCAACCCACTTCTTACCAGGCTGCTGGGCGAAAGACATCATCATGGTCCGTCCATGTGATGTACCGGATGACCAGCTCACCAGCACCACTGGCTTGGCAAGTCCGTTGCGCTGATGGAAGTCCGAATGATCATCGAATCAGCCTTTTTGCCTGTTCAAAAAGAAGCTGCGCTGCGCCATTGCGGAGGCGGAGCTGTGGAGCTAATGGGCAGCCTGGAGATGTTGAGATGATGCTTTTCCTGGGTTCTGAAGAACAGTGACCTTGTCGATCTGATTCTGGGAAGGTGTTGAGGTCACGAGATGAAGCATCTAGCATGCTTTCAAGGTCTTTCTGACTTCCAGACGGTCACTTTGATGCTCGCAGGTTCTCGCAGGTAGGGGCATCGGCTGAACTTTGGAGTTTCCCACCAACTCTCAAGCGCTGCCAAAGCGTGTCAAAAACTTTCGGTCTCTTGAGTGACCAAACCCTTACGTCATCGAGCGAAGGAGGGACACACCTCGTTCCAGCTTATTTTTACCCTCTCCTCTGAAGGTATTTGGACCCTCCAAACCAAGCCCAAACACCTTCTCAGAAGGTACTTGGAGCCCTAATTAGGGAGTATATATATATATATATACCTTCTAAACCAGAACACTAGTTAACAAAAATATGATATAACTATATAATTATTGATTAGCAAATTTACATTACTAATTAGTGATGAAGCCATCCTACGAACATAGGGCTTTGGGAACAGATTCTTTGCTCCTTGATGCCCCCCTGCACTTAAAACATCTCAAAACGGTGCTGGCCATGCTAGCGCTACCAGCTGTGTAAAACGTGCATAGTGCATTCAGAAGTGATGTGTCTCTATGGATCCACCTACCCTCTTTCGAAGGTGATCATGTGAACACACACCTTTTTACATGGGCATGGAGGGTCCAGTCGAACCTGAGACGATCCAGTGGATCCCGTCGTTGGGTCCATGGTACTGCGGCACATGCGATCGATCATCCGGACTGGCCGAAAAAGCCCATGACATTTCATGAGACTGACATAAGTTATGACATAATGTTTGAATTTTATGATCATATTTTGGGGTGGTTGAACTAAGGGGTCAATGTAAATATAGTAATATTCCATACATGGAGTGTTTGGGCATGGGTTGTCCATGGTTTTCCCAATGTTTGAGCCGCTCCGCCAGGCCCTGAACGTTTCCTCGAGGGTCGGGGATTGGCAGTCGCCATGACGAGAGGCTGAGGTGACAGGGGAGAGGGCTGATGCTGGATTGCAGGAGGATCAGTAATAAGTAACTTAACAGTATGCAATCCCATTGTGCTTGGCCCAAGGTACCCTACCAGTACCACAAACAGAGAATCCAACGCATGTCCTGTAAGTGGTGCAGAATCCAATGTCCAATCGGTGGGATGTGAGCCTGACTACAAAATCGAGTGATCAAATAGGCTTGATCATGGGATGGACTGCACTACATTTGACTAACCCAGGACCGAATTCGAGCACATGTGACTAGAGATGACTAGAGTGGAAGGCAGTGGACCCAAGGTTACCACCAAAACCGCTTAAGATCAAGAATACCGCCCTGCATTTCACGGCATGGCTTGGAAAGCTCGTCCAGGATGTGTTCCTGAACAATTGACAATCGTTGGACTTTTCTCAGTTCCTATCTTCAGAAGATGTCAGACTGGATCCATATGGATGCTTCTAGTCTTGTCTTCCTCAAAGCATGTTCTTCAACTTCAGGATGAAACACTGTGAAACATGTTGTATTGTAATCAACTTTGCACAGGGGTCAAAGAAAGCCCAGGTGATCTAGTTAGCCCTAGGTCTGCTAACCACAATATGCTATAATTATAGTGGTTCTGGTTCGACAGACCTGGAGAGCGTTCCTTCTGGAATTCGACCCAATGGAGATGCGAAAAGAATCCACTCAGAACCAAAAAGCCTCGATGTGACAAAATCATCGGATCGGAACATCCATCATAATATGACCACCCAGACGCTCATGGACCCTCCTAAGTAGGGGCCGGCCCCTGACATGGAGGGGTCCGGACCCACCAAGGCCTGTTTGGAGTGTCTGGGTATATGGTTTTATAGGACGTCCTGATTTGCGATTGGTT